CCAGCTGCTGAGGCCACAGTGCAAGTGACAAAATCCAGATGATATTCCTTCACATGACTAAGTTCCACCAGCAAAAGAAACTGCTTTAGGAGGGCGTACACACATCAAAAGCTCAAATGCAGGACAAATTAATCAGAGGCCCATCTTTGCATACAAAACTACTCATGTAGATGCACTTTTAATATACCTTTAAAAGGCAGGAGCTACAGGACACCAGGCCTGCCCACTTCTCAGGGCAAGTGGTAGGAACACTTGCCCAAGAAAGCATGTGGGGTGCCATGCAGGTTGCTCCTTATTCTCAGTGGGTTTACACTCTCCCTCCTCTCCATCAGCAGAAGGCTAATACTAAATAGTTACAGCTTCAAGTGTGTGGGGGAGAAGTAACATGAACAAAAATACAGCAAGAGTATGTTGTTCAACCTAGCAGTAGGGCACAAGGGTGGCTGGACTCTTGAGCTGTGGAAATGTAGAAATAGTTGGGATTAGCAACTGTGCATTTTCTTATTTCCAATTATTCTTCTAGGCTATGTAATGAGATTCCTGGTGCAGTGAAATGCCCAATGCATAACTTTGTTGAACCAAGATTTTGGCTCCAAGAGGAGGTTATGCCCATGCTAGGCATCTAGGTGCTTCAAAAGGGAACTGATACATCATCATCAATGTCCAAGGTATGTTCAGAAGAACCATGGAAACATTTAGTAAGCATTGCATACTTCAAAAATACATTTTATTATGATTTTGAATTAGGCACATGGATGCTGTTAGAATTTATTTTTTCACATTTTGAATCCTGAAATCATTGAGCTAATTTTGTACTTTAATTGCTATCCTTTTTTCTCCAAGTTTGTCAATAGATTCGTTTAACCTTTTGCTGTGATTTTGCTTTAAACCCATAATTCATTACTTGAGTCTTATCTTCTATAGTATATATATATGTCATATATACACTTGCAATGTTGTTGAAGGCAAATTGGACAAGATTTCACCTGTAAAAACTGAGAATCAGAGCTTATTATTAATAATTATTATTATTATAATTATTTACTGCTTCTGTAAGTTCTGTGTAAAGTGTCCTGTGAACCTGTTCAACTTCCAGCACTGAAATGGCTTTCAAGGGTAATACTGGCATTTGTTGAAGCATCTGTTTCCCAGAGGTGTGCTTGTTATTGATCAGCTCACAAAGAAGGTAATACTTTATCTCTGTCCTCTTCAATTGTTAAATTGAGTTCAGATTGTTCAAGAGATCCATGTAGAAACTTATTTCTGGCTTCCAATATATCATCCCATCACTGAACAGCCAGATTCTGCAGCATCAGTTTGGTCACAGTGAACAGAAGCCAAATGGTTATTAGTTGCTTCTGAATTGAATTGAGAACAATGTCTGCTTGCCCAGGACGCTGCCAAATGAGCTTGTTTGCTGCAGCTGTATCTTACCACATCTTTCTAAAGAGTATCTTTAGAATCCTGTTTCTCCCTATTGCATCACTATTAACTTCCATCTTGATGGCTGAAATCTCCTATTTTCTGCCATCCTTATGTTTTGTTCAAAATTCAGTGGCAGCCTCATTCCTTTACCCTGCTTTCCTCACCAAGACCTTCGTTTTCATCTCTCTGCTTTGCAATTTGCCCCATAATTAGCACCTCCAAACCAAAAACACTACAAAACTGGTTCTGAAGGCAGAAGTAGTAAAATATGCTTGTACCATAATACAACTTCACAGACACTGAAGCCCAAAGTCACTCCTTTAGTCTCTTCAGTTTTAAAATGCCAAATTTAACCTTGCCATACCTCAGGCTCCCAATCTGCTTGACAATACTTACTTGACAGAGAAGCCAACAATCCAAATTGACTGCTTCAAAGTCCTCTGTATCTCAGAATGGTAAAAATCTATACAGTTCCAAAATAGTTGGTTGCCTTGCAGAAACTGTTTCAAGAAAGCCATTTTAAAAAAATACAGGAAGCATATTTTAAAAGGAGGAGCTATCTGTTACAGCTTATCATTTCCAATTTCCTCAAAGACTGGCCAGTATATCCAAGAAAACTGCACCAACTCACATTCTTTAGCCCCAACAGCTGTTCTTTATATTATTAGACATACTATTTATTCACTTTGCCTTTTATTTATTGCTAGAAAATTTTTCTGAGAACTGAATGACAAAGTTGCTACAGCTTCCATTCTTATTATTTAAATTAATTATATCTGTATTAAAATAGGGGCCATTTCAATCCTCTTTGTATTCACTTCCTGTATCTTCTTTCACATCTTGCTGTTAGTACAGCTCATTCTTCTGGCCTCCTGATATGGAAGATCAAAAAGCTGTGAATGCTTAAATATATCACAGCAATTTCTATTCTAGATCTGACAACTGCTATTTATAGGACAAAATTTTGCTCCTTGTTAAGCTGGATGCAGAAAGTGTTATGCCTAGAAGGGCATCATGCAAATAAGCCTCGTGGTTCTAGAAACACAAAGAAACTGAGTTTGGAACAGACCTCTGAAGGTCAAGCAGTCTAACATTTTTTAACTGCAGACAGTTAGATCAGGTTTCTCAGGGCCATGCTCACCTAAGGTTTGAAAATCTCTGAAGATGGAGATCCTGAAACCTTTCTGTGAAAACTGTTCTAGCACTTCATCCCTCTTATTTTGACTTCACCTTTCTATCCAGCTGGAAGTTTTGGTTTGGGGATTTTTTTGGTGGTTTTGTTTTGGTATTTTGTTTGTTTTTGCTTTGTTTTGAAATTTGGGGGGGGGGGTGTGTGTTATTTTTTGGTTTTGTTTTGGTAGTAGGGATCTGTTTTCTTGTCCTTCTGTAATGCAGCAAAATGAACCTAGCTGTGTTTTTATGAATCAAATTTAGAGCATCTATTAACCAATTCACTGGACTATGCCAACCATTATTACTCTAATCTGGACGACAAAATCATGTTTCTCCATAGATCATGTGCAAATTCTCCCAAATTGGTTAGTAGTTCATATTACTTGACTTTTAGGTGAACTTTTACAAAGTTTCCAAGTACTCTGGATGTCAAGATTTTATTTCTAACTTGATTCCTTTTAAGAGCTTGAATTCCAGGAAGTCCTTGTTTCCTCTCTCTTTGAAAATGAAGCTTTTTAAGCAGGAGGCTATAGATTGAAATAGTGTGATACTGCTGATGGTGGAACCATCATCATTGATCAGGGCGAGCTACTGCTCAGCAAAGGCACACTAATACATTTCTCAGTATCCTATGGATGAGTTAGCAGCTACTGAAAAAATAAGTTTCACAGAACTCTTGAGCTAGGATATTTTACTTTAACAAAGGCATTGAACACGTCTCAAGTTTGGCCAGCAAAACTGGAAGTATCTGTAATCAGCAGTCACACTTGAAAATCTTGGCCTCAGTCTTTTTTTATTGCAGTCTTGTGTCAAATAACATGTAAGCACATAACAAATGAAGCAATGTTCACGAATTTATAGAAGCTTCAACAAATAAGAGGTTTACTTTTCAGATGAAAACCCAACCTTGTATCTCTTTCCACTGCAAAAATAAAAAAAAAAAAAATTAAATTTAAAAAAATTTAAAAGTAATTCCCATTTGAGTCTGTCAGTTCTTAAAGGATTTTCCTAAAACTTTAGATGTTCAGCTGCTGAGTCCTAAATTCTTCAGGATCTGACCATAACCCACTACTAAGTTTAGGGCAAGATATGTTTAGGGAAAACTTTCTTGGTTTTGATCTGAGCTTTGAGATATCTTTATTTTATCTGTCACAACGAGTATCAACATCTGACTATCTCTCAGCCTATCCAACCTCAGACCTGTTAAATGCCAGGTACCTTGCACAGATGAAGCAGCTGTTTATTAATGGAGGTAGGGTAGAACTTCTGAGAGTACAGTTCCTTTCTGCTGAAAGAAACGATTTCCTGGGATGCTTAAAAACACAGAGGTAGGTTGCTAGTCTGTTACTGTAGAGATAATTTGGGTTTCAGCATGAGCCGGAATGAGATTAATGAGTTTGCTTTTTACCCTGCTTTAGCTGTGCCAGAGTTTATAGCAGGGGAGCTGGCTACAGCGTAGCTGGGATCCTTACTAATTCAGACATGCAGGATATTTTAATGCAGGCAAAAGGAGACTGTGATTGCCCTACACACAGATAGCCAAACTCCCAATCAGCCAGACAGGAAACAGCAAGCTGCTGGAACCCAGGAAGCCTGTCAGTCCCCAGGCCACTGAGGAATAGTGGAGTGGGCTTATCCAAGAAAGTTAATCTCTTCTGCTGTCCCAACCAGGTCTGCCCCTAATGAAAGCAGAAGGGTTCACGTAGGTATGGTTCAGAAAGGAAGGGAGGAGAAAGGATGGGAAAAGAAGGCAGGCCAAGGCCAGGCAAGGCAGGATAGTAAGGTACAATACTCAAAATCAGTCATACCTCTCCAACTTCGGAATTTTCTGTAAGCAAAACCAATGTAGTTCCAAATTTGTTCTTAATTAACAACCTTGACCTTGGAAAAAAACACCTTTTTTTTTTTCTCACAATCCCACCTAAAGATATGCTATGCCAATGTCTGTTTAAATGTTTAAATACTTGAGGTTTGTTAAAAAAATGTGTTTCTAAACATATTTTACCAAGTGAAGGAGATTTGAGACAAAACCAACAGGATTACCCCTGCATTTTTGTAGTTAGAGAAACAATATTGTTTTGTTCCATCAATGTGTCCACTTTACATTGTTCAGCACAAAGCTTTGTGGAATAAGAATCATGGGAATATCACAATATAAAGGAAAAAGGTACAAATAACAGCTTCATAAACTGAGAAATGTACATAAATAAATCATGTAGATGGGGGCAGTTTGCTTAGCTGGCAAGAAAAAAAAATGGAAAATATGCTTGTTAAACAATAACCACAGAGTGTGCTTTTATGATGTTTTTCACCACAGTAATTCATATTAGAGATAGAAGCAGTTGCATGTTAAATAAAATCATTCAGCATTGTTCGCCTCACATTACAAAGAGCTGACTTAT